TGTTGTAAAAAAACTTCTCCATTTTACAATAATATTATACCACATTTTATGAACAAATTTGTGTACACTATAAATATTTTTTATAGTATTAAATGATTTTTAGTTATATCATTAACATTTTTAATAAATATTTTGATGTATAATATTTTGAATACATGTCTACATATTTTAATACACATTGTACATATTGTTTATGTATGTTTAACTTTTTTCACATACATGATAACATATTCTCTTATATTCCCAACGAAAAAGCACATTTTCATACATACGTTTTGATATCTATATTTTTTTACACATTGTACAATTTTGTATACATATAAAAGATTGTTGATATTGGTTAGAAAAATTTAAATACATGATTAATATTTTTAGAAAAAATTAAATACATGATTATCATTGTTGATATCGTTATTTTCCCATTTTCGTATGGCCGAATATATGTTTTTTTAGTAATATGTGGGCATCCCACATTTCTTCCTGGATGGGCCAAGGCCTACATGGAACATCAATTTTTTTTAAAAAGGAGGTGGCCTCGTTCCACCGAGGCCCAAGCCCACCTTGAGCGACACATTAAGTCCAATGCATCCATGTTCACAACCTCATGACCATTTATATTGGTCGTAATCAGGTAGAAATAAGGTTGTGAACCACTCTTGTCTGCTTTATGACCATTTGGTGTAAGGCAATTTCAGGGTTTGAGCCCTGCAAGCGAAATGGCCTTGGATTTACGACCAATTCTGCTGGGGTCACTGAGAGAAAGTCACAAGTTGACATATTTCTTGTAGTGACCCTTCGTTCAATGACCGGTAGCAGAATCGTGGACGTCCATATCTATCCCTATGAGCACAGGAATGAAATTCGAGTGAACTTTTGGTTATCATGTCATGTTATCTTTTCTTTGTGATACTTCACAAAAGTAGGGATGCATCGTTATCCTCCTGAGTCATCACATGCTCATTATACCATTATCCTCGTTACCGGTTTTGTTCTTCTTTCTCGTTGTTGTGTTCCGGCATCCCCATGACGTAGTCACCTATGTCTGGCCAGACGATGATGGATGTCATCACACTGAAAGGGCACTAAAAATATCTCTCCATCGTCGAAGGAGCAAATCTCCCTTATCAAACTTTTTGATGAACCTGTAACTTGTCGTTATGATAACCGTGTTGCAAGTGACGTTTGAGCAACCCTAAAGTCCATCATATGGTAATAATGACTATGGTACTCTCATGGTGTAAGGATAAAAATCACATGTTAACACTCCGCGTTATTACAATTCATTACACACTATATTGTCTCAATTCATATAAAACAAGTTTAGGTCGATTCAATATCATCGTTCTTCCAATGTCATAATCTCAATGTTGTTTTAGAACTATCGTTACACGTAACAATACCCAAAGAGCCGGAAAACATGATCACCAACAACACTTGAGCTAGTCTTAGAGGTGAGACTTTGAACCTTTATTTTATCCGTTTATCATTTCACACATGCATATGAAATTTCCACTGAACCGCATATTTCAGGATCATAGAAGTTATAGCATGAAATATAGAAACTTATTCACGAATATGGAAATATAATAATACAATATTATTGCCTCTAGGGCAAATTTCCAACAGCCACGAGGACGACGACGAGCTGCATCTCGGAGGAGTCCCCGATGCTACAACCGACAAGGCGGCAAGCTAGAACCATCACGGCAACGAACTAGAAATGATGGCGGCAAATGCTACAAACCACATATAGTGAGCTGGAACGGGAGACCCGATGTTGCAACCATCACGACGATGAGCTGAAACTGAATGCAACCAGATGCGGCGAGCAAGCAACCGTGGTGGGGCGACGATGTCAAGCATCGTCGAGCGGTGGTTCCACCGGTGGCAATTTTGGCCATGAGCGCACTGGGTGGTATTTTTTTTGCAAGCGGAACGACGCTCTGGCGGTGCCGGGCTATGCAGGGGAGATTGGGGAACACCTGCTTCGTGTTGACTCTTTTTTGTTACGGGGGACCATTGATCCAACGGTCGTTACACACTCAATCATGTGAATGTGGTGCAACCGACCGAGTTTTCGGCCACTGACCGGCGCCTAGCGCCGGCCCATATATGGGGCGGGACACACCCTTCTTTTTTCATTTATTTTTTCACTTCTTTTTTGTTGAAAATAATTCAGGACTTTAAGAAAGTACAAAACCTGAAAAAACTTGCGTATTTCAAAACAAATGTTTCAAGAATTCATAAAATGTTCGTGAATTACAAAAAATCTTGTTTTTTAAAAATGTTCAGGAAATCATATAACATCGTGGATTTGAAAAATGTTCAAAATTTCAAAAAAATGTATAGAAAGTCAAAAAATGTTCATGATTTTAAAAGGAGTTCACGTATTAAAAAAGGTCATGAATTAGAAAAAATCATGAATTAAAAAATTGTTCATAAATTTTTCAACAATGTTCAGAAATTTAAAAAATATTCATGAATTTCAAAAATTCTTCCCAAGTTTCAAAAACTATATTATTAAGTCTAAAATGGTTAGCCGATTCAAAAAATATTCATGAATTTAAAAATTGGTCCCGAAATAAAAAAGTTGGCAGTTGAAAATTAATCAAATGAAAAAATATTCACAACTTTGAAAAATATATTAATAATTTCAAAGAATGTTTTGAATTGAAAAAAAACATTATTTCAAAAATTCTTTACAATTTTAGTGTTTGCAAATTTATAAATAATGTTGGCGAATTAAAAAGTAATCATGATTTCATGAAAAGTTCATGATTTCAAAAACATAATCACGGTTTCAAGCAATGTTCATAATTTCGAAACAATCATGAATTTTAAAGATGCTGCAAAAAATAGAAAAGGGAATAAAAAGAAAAGGGGAAGAAAAGAGGAAAATTAAATCAAAAGAAAAAACATGAAAAAAAGAAAATCAACAAAGAAAGAAAATGAAAAAAGAAAGGGAAGAATGAAAATGAAAAAATATCCACAGAAAACATGCTCACACAAAAAAACGGTTCATTGGACGCCCAAAAGTATGCAACGGGGAGCGGTGTTTGAGTGTTTGGTCGCTATCCTACGAGGCAATAGGCCGCTACGCCCAAAGGACGCATGTGATTGGCCTAGCATAGACCTGGGCATGGACAACCCAGCCCAAAAGCCCGACATCTGGACCGGGCTCGGGTTTAGCTTTCCCGCCTGAAAGCCAGCACAAAAGCTTGAAAATAAGCCCAAACATGGCATAAATCATTATTTTATTAGAAATATAGGTATAATATATATTTTAAATACCCCAAAATCATTATTTTAATAAAAAGTGCACTATTCTTGTGTTTTGGACCAGGCTAGGCCGAGCTCGGGCTTGTGATTTTGAGGTCGGAACCAAGCCCGACCCGTAGAATGCCTAGGTTTAGCCTAGCGACATCAATCATCATGCTAATGTCACTTACATTTTTCTCCTCTTTTTTTATTTTCATCTTATTTTATATGCATATACGTTTATTTTAAAAACATAAACTTAGTTAAGAAATTCAAAACCATGAATTTGAAAAAATGTTAACATAGTATACAATTTGTTTGCTCGGTTCTTAGAAGATGTGAATAATTTTAAAAAATTATTCGTGACAATGAAAAAATGTTGCTTTGTTTCAAAAAATATATGCGCAATTTTTTGAAATTGTTTATTCAATGCAAAATAAATAGATTAGAAATAGCCTTTGATTTGCTGATCCAACTGAAATCGCAGCCTTTGGTTTGTTTATTACTAGTACTGTATAGACTAGCAAAAGAGCCCGTGCGTTGCAACGGGAGAGAAAACATAACACACACTCTTAACCCAACAACCATCACCCAAGACCACAATAGGTCCATCCTTTATTTTTGCGAGGCATCATATTTATGTTGCCGCTTATCCTCCTTCTCACCCTCGCCGGCGATGGCCTCGGTGTTCACACAAAACAAAAAAAACGTGTTTGAATATGTTTAATCCTAAGGCGTCTCTCTCTCCCTCTCCTCCCTCTCCTCTCTCTCTCTCTCTCACTTTCTCTCACTCTCGCGATGAGAAATCTGTTGTTTTCCCCTGCGACATTTTTCAGAGGCATGCATGTGTAGTTATTGATGTTTTTCTGTCCCTATATTGTTATAGTGGGGTGTTTATTCGCAATCCGGGTCGCCGCCGGTACGAAAGGAAAACGGATCTTACGCTATAAATTATAAGTTTGCTCCCAAAATGATATTTTAAAAATATTTAACAGGTAAAATTAACATCATATTTAGATTCCACATATGTTTCTAATAAAATTTCATATATAATATGTTAAAATCGAAGTAACGGTTTAAAAAATACGAATAATTTAGAAAATCATTTATTTGACTTAAATATATTCCAAAATAATATTTTAAAATACTTAACAGGTGAAAATAATCTTATATCCATATTCTACATTTTTTTCTAATCAAATTTCATATATAACATGTTTGAATCAGAGTAACGGTTTAAAAGATATGGGTGATTTAAAAAACATTGTTTGACTTAAATATGATCCGCGGATGAATTACCTAAAACATCAGGTTTTTTTTCGTAAAATGTAAAATAACGGTTCGGGTGTGACTTAAATCCGGACTGCGGGTTGATTTCAACAAAACACTGGGATTTTTGTGTAAAACATGAAAAAAAACGATTCGTTTTAACTTAAAACAGGACTGCGGGTTGAATTCTCTGGAATAGAGGGACTTTTCTGAAAAATGCCATGACGGATGAAAGAATCCCAATTTGCTTTATTATTAGGTAAAGATAAAGATTAGAAAGTACTAGCGCCAACGACGTAAAAAAAACGGGCCAACTATTGTTCCGAAAATCATCGGATTGGATTGTTGGGATTTAAAGGGGATGACGCATCGGCGGGTTCGCAACCCTAGTTTTCGATCTGATCTTTCCCCGATCTTCGCCGCCCATCTTGCCAACTTCCCCCCATCTCGAGTTTGCATGCACTCCGGCGAACATGGCAGCGATCATGGCGGGGCGCGGGCAGGGGCTGGAGCAAGATTTCGATTTCTTCGTGGTGGTCGACTTCGAGGCGACGTGCGTCCAAGACGCGCGGATCTTCCCCCAGGAAATCATTGAGTTCCCCGCCGTGCTCATCGACGGCGCCACCGGCCGCATCGAGTCCCTCTTTCGCAGGTATGTTCGTCCAAAACATCACCCTGTGCTGACCCAGTTTTGTAGGGAACTCACCGGCATCCGGCAGGAGGACGTCGACGGCGGTGTGGATCTCGGCGAGGCGCTCTGGCTGCACGACGCTTGGTTGAAGGCGGCGACGGCGGGGGTAGGGAACAAGAGACGCGTCTTCTTGGCCGTCGTGACATGGGGGGACTGGGATTGCCGGACCATGCTCGAGTTCGAGTGCCGCTTCAAGGGCATCGAGAAACCCTCGTACTTCGATCAGTGGATCAATCTGAGAGTCCCCTTCCAGGCGGCGCTCGGTGGCGGAGGGCCGGTCAACCTGCAGGAAGCGATCCACGCGGCGGGGCTAGACTGGGAGGGCCGCCTGCACTGCAGGCTGTACGACGCGTGTAACACCGCGCGGCTGCTTGCTGAGCTCATGCGGCGCGGGGTCAAGATCAACATCACCGGCTCGCTGGCGCCGCCGCCGCTGATGCAGAAGCAGCCGGCTCGCACAAGCCTTTGCGGTGGCTCACTGGCGCTGGCGTCCATGCCACCGCCGATCCAGCAGCAGCCGCCTTGCACGGGCCCTTTCGGTGGCTCGTTTGCGCTGGTGTCGGCGCCGCCGATCCAGCAGAAGCAGCAGCCACACATAATCAACCCCTGCGGTGGCTCCTCTGCACCGTGCTTCTGGTACTGCGGCATGGCGAGCAGAGGAGGCATGGAGCCAGGGCCGATGCAGTCTGGATGCGGCAACTGGACGCTGGTCATGGGTCTACTTCCTGTGGAGCAACTGAACCCAGTGTCGCTCAGCTGCAAGTGTTGATCGTCCTAGCCATCATAATCTGTCTAGTCTAGGTGTAAATTTGGTCATTGAAATCGAACTTGACCAATAGGGCTATTCTTCATGTAATCGGTGTCTGAATTAGAGCATTACTAGTAGAACCCTCAAACCCTCAAATCCTTAAAGCACTTTTAAGGGTTGAGAAGTGCCACTTTTGACACTTTTAAGGGTTGAAAAACAGGGGCAAATACTAGAACCCTCAAACCCAACCCTTAAACTGCTTTAAGGATTCGATTTGAGGGTTCTAGTCTTTGCCTCGACCCCAACCTTTAAATCTATCATTTGACATCTCACAATTTATGACAACAAGAACACAATCAACTTCCAAACAAACTACCAAATGACAATCATTGATGCATGGTTTAATAGTTTACATCACAAAATCATCATCTTCCTCCTCTCATCGGCACCATCACCAAAAGTTGCACCTCGGCGCCATCTCCAAGACCACAAGTGGGCTCCATCAAGCATCTCCATCGGCACCGGTGGAGTCGTACACACCGCCATCACCACAACTACTCATCGGAGTGTCACCTCGAAAAGTAGAACCCGCAACACGGAACATCCTCTTCCTCTCTGTGATGTCCTCCTTGTAGTCCTTCCACCATTGCAATTGGTCTTGATCCATGTCCTTCTTGGACATCATCATGTGCTATTTCTCTTCCACCATGAGTTCTTTCCATACCTTTGCCCCTTTGAGCTTGATCATCCTCTCCTCCAACTCGGCCTTGCGCTTTGCTTCTTCACGCTTTGCTTCAACTTGTGCAAGCTTGACCTCTTTCTTCTTCTCGGTGATAAGAAGCTTCATCTCCAATGTCTTCGTTGTCAATTCCTCTTTTGCCTTCATCATGTGGTCCATCTTCTCCCTTAGGCTTGACCCCTCTTCTTCCATCTTCACCCTTAGCTTGCCCTTCTTGTTTCCCTCGGGCTTGCCCACGTTCCTCTCCTCCTCATCTTCACTACCGTCCATCCTTAGCATTGCCGACTTCTTGGGTGCGGTCTCTTGATCCCTCAACTTCCACTTGTCAAAGGTTTGAAGAATTGACCAAACATGCTTAAATGGGAATGGCTTGCCCTTGGAAGCGGCCATCTACTTGTACCTCAAGCCGGCAATTGTCTCCTATAAACCACACATAAATCACATAAGAACCCACCAATAGCATAGTGCACACACATAATCAAAATAATGAAGAAATATGTACTCACATAGTCACTCTCCACGGTTCCACTAGGTGGTGCATCCCTCACTTGCTCCATGGCCGCACTCCAACAAGAACAAGCGGGCTTGATCAACTCCCACCGGCCTTGAAGCGACCGGAAAGTGCGATGGATGAACCCACTATTCTTCGGCTTGATCCTACAATAGACATCCTCGATCCTTTGCCAATACAGTTTACCGGTTTGATCAGTGCCGGTGGTAGCATCCATTCCCATAGCTGCCCAAGCACGAACCAACAGGACATCTTCCGCCTCGGTGTAGTTTGTCGACCGAGCATGTGGGCGGGAAGCGACGGTGAATGCCTCCACCCCGATCTCGGCCACCTCCTCCTCGTCATCCCCTTCATCCTCCTCATCTTCCTCCTTTTCCTCCAAGTCGTCACCAACCCTAAAGGGTTCTAGAGGCGGAGCTCCAAGGTCCACCTCCGCGTTTTGGAGGAGGTCCATGAACGAGGATGGGGTTGCCATTTCGTTGAACACCTCGTGCGCGGCGGGAGGAGGTTCGGTGACGGTGGCGGGCGGGGCCGCGGCCGCGGCGGCGGCCTTCTTCCGCGGCTTCTTCATGGCCGAGGACGAGCTGACGAACTTGGAGGAAGCCCCTCGAGGCCCACGGTCGGCCGCCTTCGGCCGGCTCTTCTTGGGGGCGGGCGCGACGGCCGTGGCGGGGGCGGGCGCGGGGCGGGGACGGGGGCCGGGGCGGGAGCC